TCTTTTGAAACACAGTGCATTTCAGACTTGCCATGACTCAGAGTGACATCTTGTCCAGCTCACCTAAAGTGCTGATGCTTTGCCCTATTTATAGCACATACACAGTTTTTGAGTTAGGACAGTGGCAAATAAAAGGGAAAGGGGACATTTTCTCAGGATTGATGTTTGTGAATTGGTACTGTTTTTGATCATTTGTATTTTTAAAAGTTTAGCAGGGTCATGAGAATGTTGGAAATGTCAATTCACTTGACATTTATTGGCCCACAGTTTCCTCATCAGAGACTGAGCGGGTCTAGTAAAGCTACACCATGATGCATAGAGTTTTGAATGTGACTTATTTAAAGTTATGTTTTAAAAATAATATTTAACCTGTGCGAATGATTGTAAGAAGCGTTAATAATCCTTAAACTGATCAGAGAATTGGGATACAAAATTCAAGGGTATTAGTTAATTAACTATGATGCTGAATATCTGGTGTTATAAGCAAGTGTGAATTATGATTTTTTATACTTATTTACTAGTTAAAATAATAAATGAAATGAGAGACTTGCATGGATCTATAGATTTTTTAAAATCTATGACAGTAGAGGACAGACTTTAGGAGGCCAATGTCAAATTCTGTTTATATGCACCAGAGTAATGAGGAATTTGCATAAATGTTGCTTTCCTTTTTTGTTTAAATTGATTTCAGTGCTTGACATTACTAGAGAGGAAAATATAGTGACACATTCCCATGGCATAGTCCTCCCTTTAAGATGAGCTACTGTACAGATTCACAAGTTTTAGTCCTCAGGAAAAAGCGAAAGGTAGCTATGGTTGACAAGTGTCTTTGTGGGCAAGGTGTTAGCAGGGTGAGGCGGCCATGGTAGGAAGTTGTCCTGGGTACTGTCAGGGTTATCTTCAAGCAGAACTGGGAAATAAATAAAGTTCATGCTTGGGAACCCGTCTCTAGCTTTGTTTTTTTGCTGGGTACCTCTATCTCTCCTCTCCACCGACCTTGAAAACAAACAAAAAAACTCTTCACCTTCTCAGGAGATGAGCATCCCAATAGTCTCTTTCTCCAAGTCAACTTGGTACTCATTCACACCAAAGTGAAAGTGATTACTAATAGATTAAGATCTTACTTCTGTGAAGTAACTAGGAATTAGAAATAGTACACAAGACTTTAGTGGAGAAAATTCTGAAACACTATCAAAGGGTGTAAGAGAAGATTCTAAGTAGAGAAATGATGGTAAATGCTCCTGGGTGGAATGAGTTCATATTATAAA